ACAGGTTGACACTGAATTGATTTTGCTCCGGGCAACTATGTAAACGCAACATGTCTTTGCATGTTATTAAGCAATTTACTTCGGCTGATCGCCATTAACACGGTATGCGGCTTCCTTCGTAACTGTAGGCGCCCTCTTGATAGTACTTTTTAGGGTATGCATATATATACATATATAAATGTATGGCTTTGATCGCTATGTAAAATAGCTCCTACTCTATGCACAATCTTCCGTATTTGGTAACATCTTGGGTGCAGTAGTAGGCATCTTAATATTGTGGCCACCTTTAGATGAAATTAAAAATCCATTATGTTCATTTTCCTCTGCCCGGCTGGACACAGACCTGTTAGTCGCATCGGGTAAAGCAGTTCCCGAATTAACGTCGCAGGCTTCGGTACTTGTAAAACGAGTATCTTGATGGGATTTAACGCGTACGACATGAGTTGTGGAATGACCAGCTGCTCGTGTAATATAGATCGGAGCTATTCCATATACAGAACCGAACGGAAGATCGCAGTGAGGTACGACGTATATGGATAACGGATGGTGTCCTAATTGGTAAATTGGCTTGAACGGGCATTACTGCCATGCCAATTTCACTTATTAATGTCTATCATTTGGTGTTATTGCGGATTTAAAATCACATAACGCCACGCTTACATAGCTCGCAAGGGCGACATGAACACTTTTAGGTACTAGTAAGTGGTGGCTATGAAAGTGGTTTGATTGCTTTCATTGCTCCTTAACTAATATATGTTACCAAATACCTGTCTGTATAAATAGAGATGTTTTTATACTTATTATCATGCTTAGCATTGTCATCATCACTATTATAATTATCATTGTTATGCTTAATAACACTTAATATACCAATCAGAATAAAAATACGGTGATGCAAATCAGTAAGTGCGTGCAAAATAGATCGATTTAATGTAAAGTACAGTGACGCACCGTGGGACGGCACACTGAGCGAGAGAGCTGACCCGGAACGACAAAAGTCTAGAAAACTAGGCTGAACTATCATGGAGTAGTATACATACCTTACTTGATATTCGTGCCAACAACAACAAATTCTGAAAAAGCGCCGCATCTATACTCTCTTTTCCCACCGCATGAAAATGTATGAATTTTTTTTGTCGAAATGTAAAACGAAGCGGTTTAATCGAACGATTGATTTCCTACGAAATTTTCCCAACTCATTTGGTTTGTCAGCACTGGCGGGTCTAGATAAGGGGGTCGGGTAAGATCGGGCGGGCGATTCGAAAAAAGCTTATGTCGCTTACAATTGGATTACTGCAATTACTGGTGATTTGTTTTTAAAATCATCTGCGTGAGACATAGCGAAAAGTGACAAAGAAGACCATGATCCGTGTTAACACAAAAATCTTATATAATAGATTTTTAGAATTTATAATTTATAAAGATGTTCGAGTAATATCTTTGTCATAACACTTTCCTTACTATATAATCTTACGCTCTATAGACATTGCCGCATCAGATCCTGGCGATGCATTTCGGTGCAATATCAGCTTTGGCTTATGATCTAACAGTCTATTACGTGCACCTTCGATTTTCTCACGTTTTGTTATGAAATACACTGCACGATGTCGTAGCCTGTTACAATGTACGTAGCGCGTGTATTCACGTAGTGCAACATCTCACAGTGTCAGTTAGGCTAGGTATCATTTGTCGTCAATTTGCCGCAGGCGAAATGAATGCATGAGGTATTGATGTGACGCTCACACGTAATGGATTAGCTTCGCCAGTCAAGAAATTGATTTGAACACAGCTGTTTAGAGAAAAACTTTCAGTTCCACGTTTCCGTTAAAACAGCGTAGTGCAGAGGTGAGAGTTCGAAACGCAGAAAAAGTATACTAGTCAACTCTGTGGTATTTTACTTTTCTCTGTGCTGAAGCTTATCGATTACCATTATTATTGTATAACATCAACTGATGCAGTTTACAAGACATAAAGCAAATCAAAGCGGGCCTTTAACACAGCGTGTTATGGTTAAAACTCGAAGTTTGAGCCTTAAGGCTCTCAGAAAAGCGAGCACAGCCCGAAACGTCGGAGCCTGAAGGCATACGGCTTTGTCTTTTATCGTTGTCACAGTTATGACTCCCATTTCCGAAGCTGTAGGAGACCTCAGCGAATTGAGGCCGAAGGGTCAAAGAAATTTGCTGTGACGCTGGCACCAAAGATACTGCGACCTGACCTTTGGTGAAGAGAATCAAGCTGTCCTCATCTTTGGTAGTAGTAGTAAAGGAAAAATCTGTTCTGCAGCAGAGGACAACTAACGAAGGAGGCGAAAGCTTCGTATAAATGAACATTAAAAGAGACACTGAAAATTAAAGCAAAGCAGATTCCACGAGCAACACTTATCCGCAAAAAATTTAACATAGGTCACATATGAAATGCTACAATTCTAGAATCAGGGTGTTTTTTAAGAACTTTTATCGCCGAAAAGGTGCATCGATTTAATGCCATCATTGCCGTAATATACTGCACATTTTTTTTTAATTATTATATTTTTATAACTTTTGCGTGCGTTGCTATTTCCTGCATCTGGAAACAATTCCTAAGTTGACTTTTCGGGGTCCCATATTAATATGGTTGTACTTGTTTGACATACATCCTGTTGTAGATTACATTTTGATTCAGAAGGATAGCAAAGAAGTACGACGACATCAAGAGGTGCCATCGCAGGAATTTCGTAAAAACGCTCAAATACCTATCCGCAGCATATGATGGTAACGGTATATGTCTTATTAGAATTTCAAATGATGGAAACCTTGCAATGGTCTCCTTGGGCTGCATTCACGATCCAGTTTACCATTGAGCCACTGTAGCCGGTCAAAAATGTTACCGAATCCCGTGCGGTTCTTTAGCAGTCCAGAATATTCTACCATTAGCTGGGATATTTGCTAATAAAAAAAAACGTTTACATTCCATTGTGAACGTTACGTCTGGCCCTACGGATTTTAGATGCGCCTGAACTGTATGCATTGCACAGAAGTGTATTCTAAATTATTTTTACAATTGCCAACAAAGCTGAATAAATTAAATTTGATTTGACTTGCCTCCTCTTCTCTTCTCTCTAACGTTTCCACGGATCCTCAAACGCCGACCATAGCGTATAGCTGAACGCTAATATGGGTCTTAACGATCGTGCAGATGGCTGCGCGGTATTTTTTGTTACTGCGAAGAGACTAGCGCTTGGCCTCCGCAGCCTCGGCGATTAACCGGTCAGCAGAAGCAGTTGACGATGACAACGATTAGTTAGACAAGTAGTTTTCCGACCAAGCAATAAACCCTTAGCAATCGAGGCGCATAAAAAGCAACGTTATTATCATTAGATAATAACGTTGCTTTTTATGCGCCTCGAGCTCACTTATCTTGCGCTAAGGGTTTATTGCTTGGTCGGAAAACTACTACCCAAAAGGCCAATGTACCTGCCACCATTAAGGTGTCGTTAGCACATAGCACGACGAAGCAGCGAGGTAGCGCACGACGTTTAAGCAGGCTTTCACCCGATGATTTGTGAGTGTTGTGAAGCCGGCGGCTGTCTCTCGCCGATTCGGGTATTAACAATTGGCGCGCCAAATGTTCAACGTTCTCCAAACGGCTATCTTTATGAACCTGCTAGGACTGAAGTAATACGTGCTTGCACGTTTCGTATGAATGTCTCATGCAGCGGGTTTTTGCATGTACGAAGTAATATGGGGCCACTTAACTCAGTCGAAATTTGCGTAGCGCAGTGATATGTGTGTGTGTGTGTTTGAGGGAGGTTCTTGGTGAGAAAGAGTAAGAGTCTATGGCAGATTATTGATGACCGTCTTCGTAAGCTTTAAAATAGGGCCTGTGGGTAGTCGACCGAATAGACGGTTCACACTTTGTAATTCGGTGTGAAACTTGTTTCAGGGTTAAGGGCTACATTATGAAACGTTCTTTATTTAAGATTTTATAGGTAAAGTTAAATGAAAGAGTCCTAGAATATTTTCGCGTTGTTTTACTGAAGCGTATTTAGCCCAAATAAAACTGCGTGTTATGTGTATTCCTCCATTAAAAATTCTAGAATGTGTCGCAATGTGTTGAGGTTGATCGCGGCTTCACGGAGTCCTAGGCTTAGGAAATCAGTTTTCTGGGAGGTTTGAACTACGACTGAAGCTGCACTACAATCGATCATATTTGATAAATATAGAAAAAGATCGTACTTTTCATTTCTTGCCCAGCTAATTCCACTTATGTCTGCTTACTGTGAATATCAGTACATTATATAGGAATTATATCCATAATCATTATTACTAATGACTTCCGCGTCATGTGACCCACCAATCTTCAAATTGGTCCAGTAGATCTTCGCTTGGTCTCACATTCGTGGCGTGTCCCGTCGAAATAATGGTGACGGGTATTAGAGACCGGCACACAGATGATGACTCTCAGTTGATTGTGTCTCGATATCAGTTCAATCGTAAGCTTTGTTGCTCGATGTCGGATGCAAACAAGGTGTCTGTTTCGGTGTTTGTCGAACAGTGGCCAAATAATGGGTGATTGCGAACTTTATGTCTGCTGTTATTGCTTAGATTAAGCATTGTTTCCGATGACCAGTCGGCCTCAGTTTGAGACCAAGCTTGCTTGCGGCAGATTTCGAATTTTGACTATCCTTCACAAAGTTTTTGCAATGGCTTACATAGATATGAGTGTCCTTGCGAGATTCGTTCTTTTCAACATTCTGAAAAGTATATTAGTTCATCGTAGAGTTACTCAAATTCACGCTTTCGTTTCCTGCGGGATTTGATGTTACGGCCGATAATCGCATTTCATAGCTCGAGACAACTGCGTCGCTCAAGCGCTTATTATTTTCTGATACGTAATTGTGGAGTTCGATTTGAGGCGGACATTGTGATGCTTCAACTTATCGTTAACTACGAAGACGTTATACTATAAATATATATTCAGAATGATGATTGTTCGTCTCCGGGCTTCAAGCTTGTCTCACGATGAATCGACCAGGAACACCGCACGAGCTGCTGCGGCGCGTACTGAGCTCGCCAACCGCGTTTTTTATGGCCGTTTTGTAGATGGCAACATCTGAATGACACACCTCAAAGCCAATTTCATTAACTGAAGCTTACGGCTACACCGTGAGCAGCATAAGTGCGCCAAATGGTCTCACTTCTTGATTTTTGTCAATGACAGTGATGTATAACTGTTAGTCTGTTACGCTGCGTCTTTTGAAGATGCCGAAAAAAAACATCTCAAAAACTAGAGGAGGTACTTAATTCCGATAAGTTTTTCTCAATGGGCGAAAGACATCAGCAATCAACGAGGATATCAAGTACATAAGTCCCGTCTGGGCACGCTTACTAGCTCAATATAAACTTGCATTCAATATGGACATGTACGAGGTGTATTGTATAATATTATATTGAATAAGCTCGAAAGAAAAAGAAAATTAATATGTAACATAAAACGCGTGTGTGTTAAAAGAAGTTGAAAGGTTCTTCATTTTGTGGTTATTATTTAAAAGGTAACGGTTTAAAAAATAACTCTCATAGGTGCGCTCAATATCGCTAACATATGTTTAAAAGCCACAGTTGGAGCTCGAGTCCGTCATGAGGCAATCACGACTGCTTGAATTCGTTGCAAATGTAATGGAATCGCCTTAGCTTTTCTTGATATAAAAGTTTATAAGCGTATGTTCGTCGTCGTTCAATGGTGGTTCAAAATGGAAGTGAAACCTCGTGACGTCGGTTCGTGCTTTGATTTTATTTGCATAGAACTAATTTAAGACCACACAGTTTGTCGAAGTTTTCAAAAGTGCAAGTTGCAAAGTTCTCACCTCAGATGTAACGCTGTGTCATTGTTGTTGACTAGTTCTCCTATTGAATATGAAACATACGACAGAAAATAACAAACGAACTGCAAAACCTTTTTACCGGCAGTGTAATTAATTACCTGCTTCTGTGAGCAAAATTAACATAGCTAAATACAGAAAAGGCTTTTTAAATTAGTGTCATATTTAATGAACCATGCATAGATCCCCCAGGCAACAAACTAGCTTTAGCAGAAATATAGCGCGTCGCAAACCACCATATGGTTTCAAAGATTCTTGTGGAGACTGCGTAGTCAGTTCGGGAGGAAGCGAGCGAACTTTCCGGGGATGCTCCACGAAATCACATGATATTTCGATCATGCTCGACTCTTTCACTAGAAAATAAAAAACACACATGTCTCCATGTAGTTAATAGTAAAGTATGGTTAAAAAATCATCTCGAGGTGGGATTTCGATGTACTTCCCTGAGAGGCTATGCCTCCATATAGATATTGTTCTCAATTTGCAAACCTTAATGAGTGCTATCTGTGTATAAATCTGTAGAAACAAGTTTGGGTGTAATAATGTACGGTTAATTATTTTTGTAATTATACCGTTATTCACTAGATAGTTGTTCGTTTTTGGAAAAGTCTTATTTAGCAACACTCGAAAAGCTGCTATGCAATTAAGGGAGTTCGCCTAATTTTTCCGCAATATTATTGTCGTACTCGTGATATCATAATTACCGCAGTACTAAAGTCAGGCTAAAAAAACTGACAGCGTAGAGCTATTATGTACCCACTTTCAGATGGATTACCAATGCTCGACGCAAAATTGATTGAAACTGTACCGTTAGAAAAAGAAATAGAATAATAGAAAAAATAAGAAGCATAGGTTTGACCCGAGTATACATCCTTTTGGAAGCTTATGACAAATAAACAAACGGATAGATACAAGAAATTAGATTAGTAGTTTTATTGATACATGTAGTCGAATCATAGTCCCAGAGCGAAACCACCGATGGTCCCTGTTTTCTGAATAAACGAGCTTATAATGAAACCTTACAGCAAAAACCTACTCTTAAACGCGGCTTAAATCGAGTCTTATGGCAACAGGATTACTTTTAAATAATTCAGGATTCACCTCTATAGCAAATGGCCTGTATTTATACAGAAGTAGGCCGGAGTTTTTTGGGAATGAACGTGTCATGTGAAGTTGTCAAATAAACAGATAGCTGCCCTTGGCTTTACCATCATTGCTGGAATTACTTTGGCCACGTGGCAGCGCGAGCTGGCCACTAAGGGGAGTTGTTTGTTTTAAAACGTACGGCAAAGTCATCTTCTGATTCGAGACTTAGATGTCCGCCCACATATCGAAAACGTAGCGGGCCGTTTGAGCCTTAATGTAGCTGCGCGCAAAAACATCTAGCTGAAACTCGACTTATTTGACGATCACTGACTATCAGGTTTAAACCGGTCCTACAAAATTAACAAAAATGACTAACCTATAGTAGCAAGCAGAAGTCAACCTGTGAACTAGGTCGGGGCTAATTCGCCTAATAATAAAGTACGTGCCAATGCCGCAAAGGTTTTCATGACTGACGCTTGAAAATAGCGTTACTCATCCGTACCATTTCGGGGGTGTGAGATCGGCATCTCTATGATTTTCATTTCCACGCACTCATTTAGCCTCTGTGCGCGGAGTTGAGTAGATTTTAGAGACGGTGGCGATGACTGAAAGAGCCAAAGATAAAAACGTGTTTCAGTAGACTAGGTCTTTACGATCATAGAAAAATACGTATCTTTTGCGAAATAAAACTGATTATCACTTGATCACAGGTGCTTGACTAGATAATTGTCGATATGAAGGTCATAGAGGCATGCATGGGGGTCCTTTGGGGCTTTTTTCGTTACATTCGCGAATCAAAGAAACAGTATATACGAAAATACTCGTAGGACAAATCTCTACTGAAAAGAAAAACTGGAGAAGTTGCTCATTCGAAAACTATTGAGGGGTGAACGTGTTCAGAACAATGCTATTTGTTCGAATTCTCGATAATGGCGAAAGGGGGTCCGCCAGGGGGTCAACCTTATTTGTGGTGGTGGTGGTGGGGAGCCACACCAGAAAAACCGCAGTCAATTGATTCAGTCAAAGCTACCACATCTGGTCTGATTTAAGGTGAAGTAAAATAGGAATTTAGAATTCAGAGTAGTGGTCTCGGAAATGAATCGAATCATCAGGGTTCAGCCCCACACAAGGATCATGTGATATACGATTCGCCCTCCGTAAACGTTTTACTAAAATTTTCTGACGAACACGCGCAATAGCTAAATGAGGATGTCTCTTTTTTCATACAAATAAATTAACTGCCATTTCAATCGTTGTTACAGCTGACTGGGCTCGTCAACTACACCGAGCACATACATCTTTGTTGGCCATTGGCAGATAGACAACTGCACATCGTTTTGAGCGTTCCGGTGAGCAACCCGCAGCTCATCGTTTGAATTAGAACAGCTCATACAGTACCTTGCTACTGAATACAGGGTATCAACCTAATAACTTTTGTATCTAGCTAGGTATGAATTCCTTACGTGCACATAGAGTTCAGAAGTTTTTTTTTCATTTTCATTCGCATATATTTTCATAATTCAGAATAATTCGCTCATCCCTCGTATGATCATCGATCTGTTGGGTACTGCTTGGAAAACTTACTGGCGTACGTGAGCAATTTGAATTTCGCTCGTGAGACGCGTCATCTTTTACATCGCGAGTTAACGGAAGGAAACTGTTTGATATTGCAACAGCTATCGGCCCCTACTACCGCCAAACGAACCTATGCGTTCATAAAACTCGGATCTTAAGTCATGAAGCTTACTGAGCGCTGACATTACTAACAACGCCTGAGAAACGGATGGAGATCGTATTGTTACGAGCTCGAACGTGTGCATTTTACGGCGACTCACAACCTGAAGCTATGAAGCATTTCAGGACGAAAGCCAGCCGAGGCTCGAAATCCTAAACATGTGATGAGTATGCGACCATTAGGAACTAGAGTTGTAATTGCGAATCGTGATAAAGGTTATGCTTCCTACGGCGACGTCATCCGAGAGAAATCTCCACCAACCACATTATGAGAAGTAGCATTATAATCCTAAACAGTGTCGCTCTCTATAATTACACGTTTGCTAATAGCACTAATCACATTTTTATCTGAAGTTTTTTTTTTACTACATAAGTACAAATTACAAGTCTGGTTACGTATCTAACTGATAAAATCAGCTGACAGTTTATCTCGCCAAATTACTTGCAGTTGATAGATAGTCGCAAAGAGCCCTACTCTTCTAGTGAATCCGTCTCCGCGAATTGAATTGCCGTAAAAAAGCTCGTTAGAGCATCTTTATCTCTGCTCATTAACTACGATATGTAATTACATCCTACGGTACATAATTTGGGCCTATCTAAACAAAAACAGACATGAAAATAATTTTTGCGTATGTTACAGGTGCCATTATTGACGGTGCTCGCGAAGGCACAATTGAGCGAGTCGGATGTTATGCCAATGCTTAAATTCTCGTTTAGACTCTATATAATAGTAACTTAACGCGTTTAAATCATAGTTGTTAAGGCATAACACGTGTACACAGCAGAACACACGTTCTCCTTTCGAGCAGCCGATCCTGCATTAGCCGACTCGTATGAGCCCATGCAGAATCTTGTCATTATTAAGGCGTATGATCGTCCTTTAGACACTTATTTACGAGTATGGTATTGTACAGAATAGGTGAACGAATGCGTTTTCGTTTCTTGAAGAAATATGGTAATATGTCATCTTCGCTAGACATCACTCAAAGACAAATTTCATCAAAAAAATTGCTTCTACACATGATAAGCCTGTCGTCTAAACTGTTACCAAGCTTGCGATTCATCTTTACACCGACGGAAAAACTTCTTGCCACGGAGAAATCATAGACGAACCGCTGCTTTAGTCTTGAGAGAACTGACCAACAAACCACAACGGCCAAACACCCTGCTTTTATTATACCTACAGAGCACTGCTCTAACTCAAGACGTGTACCTAAGGTCTTCGTGACATCTTCCACTCAAAAAACTTCACCACTAACGCCCTTATCAATACAGAAGGATGTTCAGAATATCACTGAGCGATAGTAGCAATTTTTTCTTTCCTTTCACAGGTTTTTCCATTATCCTGTGGCTACGTTAAAACCTGCTTGTGCTTCGACTGCGCCCGCTCATGCATTTGTGACACGACGCACTGTCCACTCGAAGATGCCGGAAGTGTTTATTACCTTAGTGGACGCCTAAAGGTTGGATAACAGCCGATGTTTTCTCAAGTTCCGAAAACAGTTCACTGTTGTTCCCGATACGTTTGTTATTTTCTTGTGAAAAGAACTGACTTTCGTCTGCTATCAGGAGTAGCGAATGAACGTATGCCCGTTGCGACCGGCAGCCCGCCGACATTTGTCTGAATTTAGGTTTCGTGTGTGTGTATATGATAGATTAGCATTTGTGCTTGGCTAAGACTAGACAATATTGGCATTAGGTTTAAAACACTTCCAAAGCTATGCCTAAGTTGGACAGTACCGGCATATTCTTCGATATAAATCTAAACGCTTCGAGTAATACCTGAAGCACCAACATAAATTAAAGAATATATAGAAACGGTAAATGCCTTGTTTGTAGATTAAATTCAGGTGAAATGACAGGTTGACAGCGTAGAACTGTGGATTCAAAGAGAGCTGCCCAGCCAGAATAAGGAAAAATTATGTTTTCAAGCAAGGATGACGCGAGGCTTCTGTGGGACGAAGCCTATTGGCTTCGTACCACAGAAGGCGTTGGTTGAATACGAAATACTTAATTAGGTGTAGTCATATTAGAGCTCTGTTAGGACGACAGCCAAAGATTACTGACTCTTGATTACGGTTGTCGTGGATGACGTGGGTAGTAAATGGTGCTGGAGCGTAGATTCCCAATAAATTGTGAGCTTAACTTCCAAAATATTGCAGTTATTGTTTATAAACATGAAGGTTAGATCTTGCAACGCATGGCTTTACTTTGTTTGGATTCGCATCGTTGGAGGGCACGGATGCGCTCTGTGAGGCATCGTTAAGATGGGCTATAGTAGGATCCCGTTTTAGATTTGTTGCATTCGGATTCCTTGGCACGCTTTCCCCATATTATGGGGCATCTTGATTAATATTCCCACGATTCTTGAAAAACGGCCGGCCACTAAATACTTTTAAGCTAATGTACAGGATCAGAAACTGACATGCAGCAAAATCACAGTGACCCATACACTCGACTTTCACTAATATTAATTGGAAAGGACGAAGTCTTCAAAAGTAATTACAATTTCCGATACTACGGATTTCGTATATGGCACTCGTTTCTTTTCAAGATCGTAGAAACCGTTGGTTTGCAATTCATATTTTGACTGATCATATAACGGCCATTCTTTTTCACCCATGTTAGTTCATCCACAACAAGAAACCTCTATAGGTAAGCCATCCATTACGTCTGCCGAGTAAAGGTCCATCCCGTTTATTATTATGCCTCGCCACAATAATCTATAGATATAAAGTCACTTAACTTGCAAAAGCTATTACTTTTCCATTCGTAGTATTCGTAAATTGCGCCGCTATTGTCGCCGTTAAAAAAATGCATTCGTAGGAAACTAGTGCCGTTTGTACTTTGTCACCTATATGAAGTGAATATTCCAAGCTTCGCGTCTGACTGTTAATTCAGTCAGTGTCCTAGCGTCGCTTGCTAAGATTTTTGTTATTGAACGATGATTTAGCTAATGTCATTTATGCCATGATCTAGCTTAGAAACATGAGGTCTAAAAGGATTCCCTCGAAACACTTGTCTCCTAGAAACAGTTCTTCCGCATTATAGCTCGGCGCAGTTTGTCATCAACAGCTTTTATACCAAACGCTACATTAAATATACTGAGCATTCGAGTGTTGGCGTCGATACTGTGTTCCATTGAATTGTATAAGAGCCATTCATCTGTATGACACAAGCATATTACACTATTCCAGTGCTTGCCTCTAAGCCCCTGTTGCCGCCATTGTCGTGCAGGGATTCACTTTTTAGCTCATCAGCAGAGCGGATAGAAAATGTCAGTACAACTATTTCGTTGTTCTCTGACTTTGGTATAGTTCCGACATTGTTTGAAATGCGCCATAATCAGTTTTCTAGGTTAGGTCTTTTACACTTATACATACAAGACTTTATTGTCCCATCACGTTCGGAATCTCACATATTATATGTCTCATTTAAATCTGGTGTATTTTGTTCATACCAAGGCCAAAGCCATACATACGGTAAGGCCTAAATTAGTTGAGCGAGTACTGTATATTTAGTCGCAGGTCTACTAGTGCGAGCAAAACGACGAATACTAGCTCGATCAAATTATATAAAAGGTGACCGCGTGTCCGAATTCGAAATTGAGGAATTAGCCAGAAATCGCCGTAAAGGAACTATGACACGGTATCGTCTGAGGTCTCGCAAGTGGCCTAGTGCTCAAGCGCTGAGGAAGCGGCGCTCTCGACGTGTTTGGAGACGGCGTGGTGATCGCCCTTTAACCCCGATTCGAGCTGGCGCGCTCGTTTCGAACGGGTGTTTAAGCGGCTATCAGAAGTGCACTAAGCTCTTTGATAATTTAGCGGGTCTTCTGGACGCAACAACAGATATGCTGTACACTTGGGCTGAGCCGATCTCGAACCTCTTCAAATGAAGAATTCCAGAAAGCTCAAGAAGCTGAAGCAAGTTCCATTGTGGCGGAATATGGTGAAGGGGCTAAATAAAAGTTGAAGACTATACCGGCTATTGATTTCGTAGGTGATGGCACGTACTGAATGATATTTAGCATTATGGGTGCTACCAATTTTAGAACGTTACGGGAAGATAGTGTTGCCGTACGGGAATTAGTGTTGCCGTAACAGATCACACTCAGTGGTATCGGGAATTAGTGCTGCCGTAACGGATCACACGCCGTAGTTGGCGTACTTTTTTCCAGGTATCAGTACGCGAAATTACAGGACTGCGCTGATACGGTAGGTAAAAGTAGTCTAGTAAAAATAGCCTACCAGAAGTAGCACGAAGTAAGAGTAGCCTACCAGTACCAATCGATCGCCGTAAAAGTAGCGTACCAGTACCAAGTAAGTACTATTACTAGGCTACTTTTACTAAGTAGCCTAGTAAAAAGTAGCCTACCAGTACCAATCGACCGCCTGGGCAAGTCAGCTCCTAGCCTTCTAAGTGAGTCTGGGCAAGACAGCTCTTAGTCTGGGCGGGCAAGTCAGCTCCTAGCCTTCTAAGTGAGTCTGGGCAAGTCAGCTCTTAGTCTGGGCGGGCAAGTCAGCTCCTAGCCTTCTAAGTAGTGAGTCTGGGCAAGTCAGCTCCTAGCCTTCTAAGTGAGTCTGGGCAGTAGCCTTCTAAGAGACGCCAGCAGTCCTATCGCCTAATCACTTTCATTAGGTGTATGTTTGGGCTTGATCTAGAAATATATTTCATTGTTAAGAGAATATGGAAAAGTCAAAACGCAAGAAGAGGCACAATATTGCAGCATAATGGAAGATTATAAGAATGACGCAATGGGCTTGATCTAGAAATATATTTCATTGTTAAGAGAATATGGAAAAGTCAAAACGCAAGAAGAGGCACAATATTGCAGCATGATGGAAGATTATAAGAATGACGCAATATCTATCACAGCTCCCGTTATACGGCACAGGTCAAAAGTTTTTGGTCAGAACAAAAACGTTGTTTTTGCTCTCTGTACAGGACTTGCTATTTAATTATTAAGGCTGCTGTTCGATTAGGTCTCGTTCAGTGTTGAAATCGAACGCATACATCCAACGTCCCCTAAGACAGTGTCTACTCGACCGCGGCAATAGTCACCGAATTAGCAGCAAAATCTATACAATTCTATATTAACTTTTTTATTCTAATAAATAGATTTTATCAAATGCATATAGTGGCTTCTATCGCAACCTCGATGAAGGGCGAACAATCGATCGGGGAATTTGTCCACATATGAGGCTATAAGACGTCGAGGCACCGTTCTGTCGTTAAGGACGAATGTTTACTCAAGTTCCCCTCATGGCGGAAGACCAGAGGGAGAATAAGTTGTTCACTGATTAGATAGATTTAAGTAGGTTGTGCGCGTACCGACTGGAGGGAATGAAATAACGTTCAGTTGTATAGAGATGTAGCATCTCACAATCCAATTTATAGATTTACTAGCGCTCAGACGATGGTCGTTTTCATGAACGTTATCTGATAATGTTACACCACGCGCCCGAAATAAGCACCGGTAATTACAGTTCGCCGGGGATGCCGATGAAAAATTTGTATATATGTACGATACAGATTTGCCGGTTGCCTTGCAACATAAAAAAAATTGACATACACATATAATGACGTAACGTCACGTACAATTTATCCGTATCACTTCGCCTTCATTCAGACTTAAACATACCTCCCTATATTTGATAGGCTTGTGCAAGCAGCGAAGCATTGTAGTTTTCTAGTTCTCTTTCTATGAAATGTTAGTTCACATACGTTAATTTTATAACGGAACGTTGAGGTTATATAGGCATTTTTTTAACGAAGAAATGTCTATTTTTCTTTTTAGATGGATATTAAAACAACTCATAATTATTGAGATGCACACAGCTAATAAACGTACTACAGTTGTGCCTTACTTATAAGAATATCCTACCTGGTGGTACCAAATTATCGGAGTTTCTTATCGATGTTCGCAAGGCATTGTGGAGCAACACAATTTGACTTTTTCAAATACTTCCTAATGCGATTTGGTCATGTGACAATAGAAGAATGGAAAATCCTTGTTACAAGGCTTGTTTTAGTGCCCGGCAACATAAACATAGTTACAACAATCAGCCAGAGTCGTTCAACTAGCACGGACTGTTATTACGGCAACATATCTGTTCATGTTCGCAATAGGCGCGGCTATTACAGGCAGCTCCATTGCCGACTGCTACCAGGCGTAGCCAAAACTCGGATGTCGTTCATCATTTTTATGTACAGGAATCACGGAATCGAGTTCATTCAGGTATAGTGCTCTCCAGGTAAATATGCTGCACACATTTATCTCACTACACGTTTTTTACAAAATCATGTTTAACGAAACATTATTGGAGCAATATCGAAACCTTCCAGTAATTTTGATTCGGCCCCTTTTTTTATTCAGAATTATTTGCCCTCGCCCCCCGTACCACACAACTTTACTGGGTGCATTATTTGTCGCAACGTAGTTAATTTTCGTCTTTTGTTTTAGGCCATGGGATAGACGAGTTTTCGGTAAATGAATTGAGACAATTTCCCTTGTTATCCATGGCCGTGTTCTTTTGAAACGATAGCATTTAGTAAATCTTGGCCCACATAGCCATACTGTCCCCTCTTTGTAAATCTATTGTAATTGATTATGGTACGT